CTGACTCTCGCATCCACAGCCTCGCTGGCTCTCGCATCCACAGCCTCTCTGGCTCTCGCATCCACAGCCTCGCTGGCTCCCACGGCTCAGCATGGGCTGGGGCACTGCTGACGAGGTGCAGTGAAGTAAGGCAGTGCGCACTGCGTAGAGCCCGCTGTGGCCACATTACAGATGTGCTCCTATTCCAGGGGCTCCTTTCCCTCCTCACGTTTCTCCAGGCTGGTGGATGACTTCTGGTATGTCCTTTAGACCACATCCATACAAAACAACTTTACGTATGTAACTGTTTTCTGCCAAGCAGTTATGGCCATGCCAAAGAGCTAGTTGTAAGAACAGATTCTTTCAGGAAAGGGAAAGAGACGGGTCCCAGGAAGGCCCTTCATTCGGTGACTTAGGAATAAACTCCAGAGCGACAGCCACGCTCGCAGGGACAGACGGCCAGCCGCTCACCTGTCCACGCACTCCTTGACTACTGCGAAGTTGCCATCCCCGATGACCTTCCCGATTCTGTACTTCTCCAGGAGGGCGCATGACTCAGAGCTCCTGCTCCCATTCACACCTGCAGCCAGGGAGAAAGGCAAAGGCTGAAGGGATGCCAGTGCTGGCTGCTGTCCTACACACGTGGAAAATAATGAAATGCAACGCTGTTTTTTATAGGTCTACAGCAAAAATGGAGAAAGTCACTCAGCGTATTTCCTAAACATAATGCCCGAATTGCCACTTCACTTTTGACCTTGTTGATAAGCATCAGAAACTCATGAAAAGCAAAAGCCTAACACGTCCTGGAATGATAAAGGATTATGCTTGAACAGGGGGACCTCTAACCTGAGCTTTCCAAAACTTTCCTCTCAGGGAAGAGGGAGGACTTGAGGGTGAAGTCAACCGAGAAGCTCTGAAGACTTTTCCTTTCCTCTGGTAAAGACAATACTATCAAAATAAGACCCTGTGTTGAGGCAACTCCTGGCACAAAGCCTTCTCATAAAAGCGGGTTGGCATCAGACCACAGCCAATGTATCTTGTTGCCAGGCAAAGCGGGATATATTTGTGCTCATCTAATTGAGAGAATTGAAAAATAGCTAGGAATTGTGAGCATACAACCAACAAGAACAAAAGGAGGAAAGCCAGATCTAAGATCTGAAACAGGGGCAAATGGCTAACGGCAGAGACACTGCGTACCCTGATGTGAGCCTACTCTCAACACCTCAAAAGACAAACTGGACTAGCAGGTGACACAGTCACATCCCTATTTAGGAGGAATGTGGCACCAACGGGACTCTGATGGCCAAGTTCAGATGGACGGTTTCCTTTATAAGAGTAATGAGCAGATTGAGACACACCTTCAGGACTCAGGCAACGGTCAGGTTCCGGGCCACCATTTACATTGGAGGAAGATCCGCCTTGAGCAGAAATCTGCTGAGAAGAAAACACGCTTTATGTATTAGCACACGATCATAAATCATTAGCTCCCTAGTCCTCCCCTAGACCGTCACAGACAGCCTTCCTATAATGTCATGGCTGATACACGCAGTGATACAGAATTTTTTCTCATCTCTCTTCGAGTTATACAACAAAACACATTAATGAATTTATTTCACAGATATAGTCTCAATTCAGAGTTAAACACAAACACTGACATTGTAAATGTACCAAAATTAAAGCAAATGTTGCCTCAAGACCACACAGAACCCTAAAGTTACAGACCAAGTGTCTGGCTCTTAGTCCAATCATTTTACTTCCAAACAAGTAAGTAACAATCACATTTTCAGAGTTTGAGGTTTCTGTCTTGTCCTACTTGATTTGTTCGTTGGCACTGAAATTGAAAGCGTCACTGGTGGTAGCTCTGTACAAGAGCACACCCCTACAAGCTGAAATGTTTAAAAGCAAATTCAGAGAAAAGACAGTTTAAAGGCAGTTCATTCCTTCTGACTACCATCCAACCTCATCCGGCCGCTCACTCCAAACTACCGTCAGGGAAACCTGCGGATTCCAGAACCCCAGCAGGTTGTTCTACCAACAACGTAAGCCCAGACCTTCAGCCGGCATCATCCATCTCCTGGTCAGCGTGCTTCCCACAATACCTTTTCTTGTGAGCTTTACACTTACATTAACTCAGATAATTTCCTTTGTTATTTTACTTAAATCCCCAAGTCTAAGACTCTGCTAGGAGAAGGCGAAGCAGCAGAACCCATCTTGGCATTTGGAGGACTGACATTCGTTCAGCCTGGTAACACCGCTGAGCACCAGCTCCCAGTGCCAGCTCCCAGTGCTCTCCTGCCAGGGCCTGGCACAGAGCTGCAGCAAGTGTCTGGGAAACAGGTTTAAAGTGTGTCATGCCAGCCAGTCCAGGTTGACCCTGCCCTGACACAGTCCTTCCGAGACTGAAAATCGCCAAAGAAATAACAGATCCAGCCGAAGCCAGCATCAGCCCAGCTGTGCGTGTGACAGGGCTCTTACTGCATACCCCCTGTTCATCTTGAACTCACGAGTGCCCCTACCGCCAGCCTCCTGAACACTGGGAGTATGCCATGTGCCATCATTCCTAGCAGCCTAACTCTGCAGGGAATACACAATGAGAGGAAGAAAATCCTTCTGCAAAGTTAAATCTCAAAGCTAAATAAGAAGAGCCCTCCTTATTACCCCCAAGACTCTGAGTTTGGTGACCAGGGGCTGGGTCACCAAATTCCAATGAATAACAATGGACGCAGGTCTGGTTGCCACACAGCTAAATCTCACTGCCTGGATGAGGCAGCCTGACCTGGCTGGGCCAGGCGTGGGTACCTAGCACCTAGAACTCCCTCCCGACACAAGCCTAGTCTTCTGAGATGGTAGGACCAGCCTCGGCCCTGCGGGCCCAGCCATCCTCAAAGCAGGGAATGTTCTTCTAAGTCCCTCCCCTGGTCTGAACGGCCTGACTCCAGGACTGGCCGGAAGCTCCCCGAGGGCAAGGGCTGAGCAGGCAATGCAGCGCCACACAGCTGGCACGCACTAGAGACCTTTGCACATGCACCCCCCTTCCCTGTCCCAATTCCTTGTGTTGCCAAATGATCACACACCTGCTTGCTACTGGGATTCTAGGGTGACGAGAAGCATGGAAAGAAGCCAGCACAAGAACAGCGAGGGTTGCTGGTGCTCTCAAGAAGAGCCAAATGGGAAGCGGGAATGTGGAAGGCACAGGCACCTGCGGGGGGGGGGGGGGCAGGGCAGGTCCACGAGCATCCAACAGATGCTCCTGTGAGTCACCAGCAGTTGTAGCTTTTTAGCAAATAATGACAGCAGCAACCGTTTTCAACTCTCAGGTTGATATTTTTTAAGTGCTAAAGCTTTTCAAAAATCCCTGTATGTGAATTAATAGGAGTGAGTTATTCAATATATTCCTCCACTTGAAAATAAGGCTTTCATTATTAAAAAAAAAAAAAGGCATGGAAAAAATAATATTAAAGGGGATAATTTTACTGTAACATAGGTGAACCGAGGCCAGGGCATAATGAGAAATAAACATTATGACATAATATAGAAATTTATCCTTTCTCACTGTTTAGCAGGATCTACAGCAACCACCTGAGCTATTTACAAGGACGCAGAGGTGAAGAGACAGGACCGTTACTGATGGTGGCTGGTAAGTCTATGAGGAGACAACGGGGAACAGTTAGAACACTCCCTGAAGCCTGCCACTCCAGGTCAGGGGCTGACGGCCTGAAGCAGACACAGCTGCTTTGCCCAGAATTAGGCCAGGCTATACCTTCAGTTACCCAGCTTTTGATTATATTCACTTGGCTTCCTCACCATGAAGCTTGGCTCACCAGGGCCATAAAACCTGGCTTTTCATCACACCCCCCAGAAAGACTGCTACTGAATAGGAAACACTGCTGTCAGATAGAACATGATGAACCCTCCATATTCTCTGTGTTAGCCACAATCAGCTAGAACCTCATCACATCCGTGAGCAAGGCCTCAGGCGACATCTAGGCTACTGAACTGGAGTAAGAAACTAGCAGTATTATAAACTATAATGCGGACACTGTGAAAGTCTGCACGCTTTCACGGTGGGCTTCATAACCTCTAGGACCCATGGTGCCACGGCTGGCCACTGTGTAAGGCCAGGCTCACCCACCCAGGTACTGCCAACATGCTCCAAGAAGAGCCTCTAGTCTCCAACGCTCATGAGCAAGAGGCATGACTACGGACACGTGTTGGTTATATTCAAATAAAGTCCAACTTCTATTCACTGATTTTATGGTGACACACAACCCCCAATCTCACCCTAATGGGCTGCAGCCCAGACTAAGGCTGAACTATCCCCAAACTCAACAAACCAACTGAGCAACCACCATGTACAAACAGAACCTGGTATTCAATGTCATGATTTATTTTGTTAGGGCACCAAAGTCTTTAAAACTATGTAATCCGCCTCTTTGTTTCTGTTTCTGTCTAACAAAATCAGTTACGTTCAAAGATGAAGTCAGAGGACAGTGTCTCTGGGCAAAGGAAAAGGGCCTTGGCACGGCCAGCTTCCTAGTTCTGAAAATTATTAACTTAGTTTTAAAAACACCAGAAAAGCCAAAGCTCCAGGGAAAAGCAAAAATGTCTTAAGGTCAGCAGCTACTGTGGATTTACATTTCACAGCTTTGAAAAGAAGGTCCCAAGTTCAGGAGGTCAGAGCGTTACATTTTAGCTCTGCCAATCAGGTTAGATATGACCAGTGCTTTGACGGCACCTCACAAATCTGGGAAACCTTTCACCACCAGCAGACCCAGGAGACACCATCAGATAAACGTCAGCACATCAGTTTCTAATCTCAGGAGGCTGGGTCATGTTCACATGCGCTTTGTTGCTCCCAGCGCTCAGCATACCTCTGCTCCAGAACTCAAGCATTTAAAACTATGTGCTCCGACTCCAAACTTTTTAAGTCTTTAGTTCACACAGATGATGAATTAAGGTTCAGGGAAATGTTTTCTTCATCTGTCTGGCAGTTGATGACATATTTAGTGCTCTTTATTGCCTATCTGGCCCCTGCCCCAAATGCTGTGATTTAAGGACAGTAAGTAACCCAGCAGAAGAAAGCTGCCAGCCACATCCAGGGGCCCCTGAGGTGCCCTGGCAAAGAGAAGAGCCTGCGGGCTGAGGCCAAGGACAAAACCAGGAAGGTGAGGATTAAGAGAAAAAGCAGTGTCAGCAGTGGATTCAAGACTAGAAGAAAAAAGATCAGCAGGGAGCAGGATGAAAAGGTCAGGACAGAGAACAGAGCAGGAAAAGTGATGAGGAGAGAGACTGCGGAACCTTCAGGCAGGAAGATGGACAGGAAGTGTGGAGAGATCAGATGGAGAAGAAGGGCAGCCGATGACAAAAATTCTAGGCGGCTGGCAGAAAGATGAAAACGCAGAAGTCCTGCAAGCCAGCCAGTCTCCAGAGAGGGCCCAGATGCCTCCTCCTGAGCTGAACTAGCTGACCCAGGACACTCCTGAGATACTGTGGGAATCACAGTCTGGCTGCCAATGGTAGGTGACAAAAACAAGAACTGTAGAGCTGTCACTTGATGCCAGTCAGCCAAAGCCAGCAGCCACCTTTTGAGGGCAGAAAGCCAATCCACGGAGGAGTCTCAACAGGGAGGAAGCAAGGCCAGTTAAGCTCTAACAGGCATGGATCTGGGTCCAGAGGTCCGTTCCTGTGTCTCTACAATACAGACTTCAGCCAGTTACAGGAAGAGGAGACGGTTTGTTAAGGGGGAGACGTGGAGGAGCCTGGAGGTGCGGCCTATCTTGTTTGTTGCTGGCACTCAGGGGGCAAAAGAGGAAAGGGGCTGAGGAGAGGTCTGCAGTGACCTTTTATGGCTCATTAACATAATGCGCTCTCTTGGCGGAAAGCAGCCCAGGAGACTATGGTTGCCAGCCAGTCTTTAAAACATGCAAGACAGAAAGCAGCAGTACTCTATGGGGCCCTCCTCCAGAATAGTCTCCTGGCTCCAAACCAACTGTCAACAAAGGAAGATATCTCCTGAGAAGAGGAAACACCATTCCCATCAAGCCTCGAGACTCTTACCTTGATGTGTACCCTGCCAGCTAGGAATGAAAAAGCCTGCCCAGAACCACCCAAGCAGCCTGCTCCTCAGAGTCCAGCTGCTAAGAACATGTGAGGAAGCGTCTGTGGTTGTTAAGCTGGTATGTGCTGACTTATGTGAAAAGGACAAAGGACGGGCAATTTGGACAGAAAGTCAGTAATGGCAGGAGAGGAAGGAGAAAGAGGCAGGCTTCCCACCCTTCTTCCTGCTCCTCCGTCCCCTTAGCCACAGACCTTCTGAACCCTCACCTCTACCCCAGAGAGCTGGGCCTGTGGTGGGGGTCCTAGAATCTTCATTTTCCAATGTACCCCTCAGGTGATGGGAGCTGCAGCTCCCTGGGAACCAAGAATGTCACTTAGGATACATAAGAGCTGAACGTGTTAACTTTCTTGAGCAAGGGGCTCTTGGTCAGCACATTTTTAAACACATAAAACACAGAGAGAAAAGAGAAAAACTCAGCCTGGCCTCTCTCGTGCTAACCCTTCCTTCTGATACATTGTTACACACTTATGTACTTCATGTGGAATTTCTTTCCTGTGGAACCGAACCTGGAAACCCCACGGTTACAGTGAGAATACTGAAGCTGACCTGAGTGCTTTCTCTGTGTTTAGTCCATCACTGCTTCAGTGTGAGCCACGAACCCTCTCCCTATAGAAAAGGCAACAGGACTTGACCAAGGTCACACAGCCAGTGAGGAGCCACACCAACACCATCCCCAGGCACTCTGACTGGAGTCTAGGCTTCTAACCACAACACCCTGTGTCTGCTGAGAGAAAGACAAAGAGAGAGAGAGACAGAGAGAGACAGAGATGCAGAGAGAAAGAGAGACAGAAAGAGACAGAGATACAGAGAGAAAGAGACAGAAAGAGAGACAGAGAGAGAGAGACAGAGAAAGAGGGACAGAGGCAGAGAGACAGAGGCAGACAGACAGAGACACGGAGAGAGGCAGAGGCAGAGAGAGCGCCAACTCAAGAGGGGTTGAGCTTCACCGTGCCTGAGGCTGCACCGGAGGGTTCTCTGGTTCTACCCGAATCCTCTGAGCCAAAGACTTTGGTCTCCGTCACCAGGGCCTAACTGGGATTGGCAGGGACCCTTGCAGAGTTCTTCAATTTTGAAGAAGGATGAAAGGGAAACAAGCACACCAAGAGTCGGCACACCCGGCGAGCTGGGCCTGCGCGGCCCTCGGGGCCTGCTGCTTCCGTAGGCGTAGGCGACCGGCACTGTGAGCCCGTGCTCTCCAGAAAAGCCAGACAAATCTGGGAGCCTGCACTGTCCTAACTCGGGTCACTTGGCTCCGACACTGCTGTGTGCAGCCGTCCGGGCAGGCCTGGGGTGCTAGTTCACACAGGGGCAGGCTCTGTTTCAAATCCCAGCAACCCCCTGCCACAGCGCGGCTTCTCCGCAGGTCAGCGCTCACCTCTTACACCGAGACGTTAAGGTGTGAACATAAAATGCCCCTCACAGGCTAACCGGTTTGGTGGGGGTGCTGTGTTTTTGTTTGTTTCAATTGGTGTTTCAGTTTCAGTCAGAGTCTCATGTAGCTCGGGCTGGCCTTCAACTTGATATGTCACTAAGGATGACCTTGAACTTCTGGTCCTCCTGCTCCACCTACTGAATGCTAGAATAACAGGCTTCCACGTCCAGGAGCATTCAGGAGATCACCCAGGGCACTGTGCATGCAAGGCAAACACACACCAAATGAGTTAGTCCCTGCCCCCCCCCCGTGTGTGTGTGTGTGTGAGAGAGAGAGAGAGAGAGAGAGAGAGAGAGAGAGAGAGAGGGCCTCATTCTGTAGCCCTGCATTGCCTGGAATTCACCATGCAAACCAGACTAGCCTTGAGCTTGCACCAATCCCCCTGCCTCTGCCTCCTGCCCGTTGAGATTACAAACTGGAGCTACCACATCTGGCCAGTTCTTCTAATGTGTGAATAGTTAGTACAAATACACGATCTCCTATCCCTAAATTCACTATCAGTCTTGTTCTCACGTCCTTCCCAGGGCAGCAAGCTGAGCTTACACTCAGTGTGACCTCTCCCAGGGATCCGGACTTGGTGGCTTTTCATTCCTTGTCGAGCAGCAGCCCTCGCCCTTCATTGTAATAATAGAAAGATTCTTCAACGTCCCTACAGAGAACTTCCTGGACCATTTCAGAGACTGTGCCTAGTGACTGCTTATCAGATACAACCACACACTTAGGGAAGGAAGCCAATCTACGGATGTCTACGCGGCTTTGAAAAGACTTTAGTGTTTTCAAAGCTCTTTACTATATATAAACAATCTGGTCGTGTCAATAAAAAAACATTCATTTTTTTAGTAGCAATTATTTACTGCTGTTTTATCAGGCCTATTTTATAAATTTAAAACACTAGGATTTACTAAATCAAAGGAAACTTGTTAAAATTTCAGCCTTGTGCTCTAACATTCTCCAACCACTAATTTTGCTGCAGTTCTTTATTTTTAACATCATAATTGATGCCTATTTGCATCTAAGTTCCTCACAAAAAAGCACATGCTTCTCTTGTGCTACCTTCCTGTAGGAGTAAATGCTATGTTGATGATTTACACTTCAAAAAGGCAAATGGTTAACCATATTAAAACCACGATTCCAAAGGGTCTTTAAATTGAATTACGTTGTGTTCCAAAGCTTCACTACTGCAAACCGTTTACAACGACCGATGATTTGCTAAACTATACTTTCACACTCTGTCCGACCCATCCCAACCTTGCATTCCCACAGGATCTGAACACAGTGAGAGTGCCGAGGAGCCGAGCTACCGTGATGCCGGGACCAGCAGGCTCCGACAAGCTCCCGCACAGACAGCAGGGCCACACGCGCCGCCTCTCCCCTCCGTACCTTCAATCCTCTGAAGCTTCCTGGGCTGGTTGGAGAGGAGCTGGAAGACTTGGTGGACTTGGGAGTGGACAGCTGGCTGCTGGGAGTTCCATTCACTGACCAGGAGACAGCAAAGGAAACAGCCATCAAGACTCCAGACAACCGAATTGTGAAAACACTAAGCACATGCACAAGATGGCTCCAGTGAAGCTGTGCTTCGCTTGCAGCCCAAGCAGGTGACAAACCAGCAAAAGCAGAAGCCACATCTCTTACTGCATTACAGACAAAGTCAGACAAGGAGCGAAATTAGAATTTACAGTAAGAGTGTCCCAACAATGATATAAACAGATGTAGAAGACGATCATGGAATTACAGGTGAGAGTGGGAGACGCTGCCCACGCTGCCTGCCTTCCCGAAGACACAGACGGCTGGCTGGCTGCTGTGTTTGCGGCGGTCTCTGGTGAAGGCCATTACAACTGCCAATAGGCATCTTTACCGTGGTGCACACTCGTATCAGTCACAGAGAAATGCTCTTTCAGGTCAAGCAGCAGTCCAAACACACAAGCGCACCTGTGTGTGCCTGCCTTCCTCACACTCTGGCTTGGAGCTAAGAACCGAGCTGACTGTTTCACACTGCCAAGCACATGCTCTGCCACTGAACCACAACCCCAGCCTGCAGCTCTTCCTCATGGAAAAAGAAAGACTATTTTTTCTTATAACACTTGTTTGCTTGAAGGCCATTAAAGGAATTGTTCAAACACTTTAACACAGGCTGGTTAGTTACAGCCCTCCCAGCTCCCTCCCAGTTTACCTTCCCCATTCTTTAGAAAATCCTGGCCCTTTCTATGTGCCCTTGCCCACACCTCCACATGCGTCTTTGGTTGAAAGGAAGGCTGAGCAGAGTGCAGCAAACCCTGCTCAAAGCGGGAGCAGACGAGGTTCCAGCTGCAGAGCCCCCAAATCCCACCATCCAGATCTGTTTCTGCATCGAGCTCATGAGCTGGCGGTTAGTATCTGGGATTAGTAGATTGTTCTCCTCTTAAAAGTACTTGTAATCCCTCTTACTTCAAAAGTAACCCTCCGCCCACAGCAGAAGAAGCTGCCATCATCCTGTGAACAGCAAAGTGAAATCCACTTTTTACTAAGGGGGCAGACAGTGCTGTTTTACATCGTCTGAGTCAAGCGTCCGAACGCACAGGCGATTCAAGTGTCAGCGCCCGAGTGGAGGCAGAAACTGTACACCAAGTAGCACATATGATCAGCCAGAGCTTGCACTTTCCCTAATTCTACAACACCTGGTTGTCCAGATGCTCCTGTGTGTGCACAAGTGTGCGCGCACATGTGCGTGTTACATTTGTTCCTTCATGTGTGCGCATATGTCATGAGGGGCCAAAGACCTCCACTTTGCTCTAAGACAGGGGTCCTCGCTGAACGCAAGTGCCCAGACTCAGCTGGGCGGGCTGGCCCAGAGGTCTGCGTGGACGACAGCCATGTGACTACCGGGGCACTCGGGTCTGCACAGGCCCTACAGGTCCTCGTGCTGCCCGAGTCACCTCTCCAGCCCATCAGCTACTTCTGGGAAATGACTTTAAGGCCTGGAGCCTCCGCAGACACCGTAACGGTGGACAGTTGTCAGGTGAATTTGCCCAGATCCCAGAACGCACGGCCATCCAGAGTGATAAAAACGTGCTGGCTGCAAGCTGGCTGCTCTCCATGCAGGCGCTGCGCGAGGCCGTGTTTGTGCAAACGGGGAGACTTGGGAAACCTTGGGCTCAGATGACCTTCGAGCCTAACTCTGTTCTCAGAGTCTCTAAAACTCTCTTCCAAGGGGATTCACGTAAAACAGGGATCACTTGGGCAGTATGCTAGAAAGCTTGCTGTGAGTACAGACAAAATGTGCCTCTTTTTTTAAAACCTCTATCTGGATCAAGCATCTGTACAGGTGGCCAATTCACAGCCAGCCTTCACGTGGCTTTCCCTTGTGGCCATCTGGAGCCACCCTGAGCTAGGCTGCCTCGAGACGGCGGCCGAGCAGGACCAACAGGAAAATCAGCTCCTTGCATAGCCGATTCTGGAGCAGACAGGTTTCCTAAAAATCCACTTCCTAGCTAAGAGGACTCGGTGCTGGGAGTTTAAACCAACTCAATAGTCACACGTCCCCACCCCCAAATAACTCATAAGATCCAGGCTACTGTAGCCGTGAGTTCTCTACAGCACTCTGGACCGCTGAGCCCCTGCTCCAGTCCCTAAGAGCAGGGCCTGTAAGACTTGCACTACAGGTAAGACTGACCATTTACGGTATCTACTATTTGTGTGTTCACAACATACTATTTAGCTATTTACACGGAGTTTTGTTGGAGGATCAAGTGGAGTCAGAAATGTCACTCAAGGCAGCACCTTCGAGCATCACACTGGCATGAGCAGTACTATAATTACAGTATTATAAGGTTACTAGCTCTGTCTGAAATTCCAATCAATCTCTCACAGTCCTTGTTGTCATTGCTGTTGTGACAGTACCGGCTCACTTCTAACCTCCTGCCTCGGCCTTCTGGACAGCGGAGCACAGGCCTGCGGCACAGCAGGACCTCTGAATGGGCTCCACTGCTTCTGGCATAGCTTACAGTGACACAACATCCTCCACCTCTTGTCAGAGAGTGAGGAGAAACACTGTTGGTTAACACAGCAGTGTGTCCTGGAGTCAGTGGCTGGCAGCTTTCTAATGTGCTGAGCGGGCTCCAGCCTCAGCTAAAGACCGCTCGCTTTCCGAGACGTGGTCTTCAGAGCCCACAGCTTTCCCTGAGGAGTCTGAGGCCGACTCAGACTCAGGTGAAGACTTTGCAGAGCAAAGCACTAGTCTTCAGTCATTATTTAAGCATTGCAAGTTCAGATTAAAAGAAAAAAAAAAAAAAACAACAAAACATCATCATCTAACTCTGTCCTGGGCCTCGTCACAGAATAGTAGATGGCCCTGTGCTGGGAAGGTGTCCCTAGTTCAGGGAGTTCCTTCCTAACACCTCAGGGGACAGAGCTGAATTAATCAACCGGAGCCCAGAGCTGCGCGCTCTACTTTCATTTAATCACTTTCCTGACATGGTAAGCGTAGATAAGCCTGTCACCTGAAACAAAAGCTAGGAATAATTCAGCCAGAAAACTACATCCAAACACATTATGTTCCATTAGCTTTTCCAGTTTTAAGGTACTATGGAGTCCATTTAAAATAAGGTTAATGGCAGACACTTTGCCTTAAAAACCCAAGTGAAACTAGAAAGCGTGAGTATAGAAATATGAAAATCACCGCCTCCCAACTAAAGAGATGCAGCGTGGCGGCCGCCTTCACGTGTGGAAACACTTCACTCTCCTATTCTGGCCCCGGCGTCATGAGTAGAGAGTTAGAAAACTGTAATGACTCCTTTACCCCAGGAGTGCACAGAGCATGAGGTTAGCATGCCGTGGCTTTACTGCTAACAAACTTCAGCCTGTTTAGTCACAGAACATTTTCTGTTCAGTGGAACCCAGCCCTCACGGAGGTGACGGCCTCGCAGACCACTGAGCTCCGGCTGCACAGACAGCAGTCAGCGATCTTAGCTGAGTGGTTGGGTAGCGAGCAGGGAGGCTAACTGGCCCGTCCGTGCACTGCAAATCATCACATGTGGCACAGACGTGCACCGGGGAAGGCCAGGGACACTCATGGAGATGGAGCGAGGAGAACAGAAATGCGGCAGAAGACAGAAACAGACCCCGCAGAGCGACAAAGCTGTAGGGCCTGGCTCACCTGGGCATCTGGCTGTGGAGTAGGCGCTGCAGAAGCCAGCCCTCTTTACTGTACACACGCACAGAGCAGGGGACAGCAAGGACAGTGGTTACTCAGCAGCTAAAAGACAGCAACACAGCCCGCCCTAGGGGAGGGGCGCTCTGCGAGCAGCCCTGCAGACAGGTCAGGGGGCCCTGCAGGTCTAGCGGCCTCGCAAGTCAAATCGGCATTTGGTTCCAAAGAAAGGAAAGTTTGGTTCACTTCAAGGGGCAGCAGGCTGGGCAGGAGTAAGAATGCTGCCTGCGAAAAGAAATGGTTTTTTTTCCTCTAAAATCATTTTCTTAACAATAAATTAAAGGGTAAAATTATCTGTAATTACTCTAAGTTCATAAATATCAACTTAATGAGATAGAATGAGTGTTTTTAATATTACAAATATTAAAGCAGTATAAACTTTGACAAGTTTGTAGGATTTGGATATAAAAGTTTTAGAACTTAAGTAATCCCTTCTGAGAATAATCCTTTCTGAGTTACTATTAGGAACTGAAAAAGGAAAAGACTGTGGAAGTTTTGAAGGAAATACATGTCTGTACGGAACACTGTGTGTTACACCAGGAAAAGGTAATTCTCAGAAGATAAATATCCACGAGTACACAGCACAGAATTCAAACTACAGCATACATGGCTCAAAACGTGGAATACATGTGTGTGCACACCAGTGGAAGAGCAGACCGTGAGGCGTGCAGGAAGTGCAGAACCAAGTGCAGGCGTCCCGGAGACTCACACCTTCGGCAGGCAGATCGGCCGCTTTTGACTCACAAATCTTACTATCGTTGCTCTAGAACTTTCGATTCACAAATCTCACTGTCTACTGTTGCTCTGGAACCTGGCTGTACACAAGCCGGCAAGGCTGTTAGGTCATAAAACTTGGAGAAAACTCAAGAGAACGCCCTCCCCCGAGCGAGGCCACGGAGGCCGTTACTACCTGAGGCTGGGGACTTGCTGCGGCGAGGCGGCCCTGGGCTCTTGGATCCAGAGTACTTGGCGGCTCGGGAGTAAGAGGGCTTCAGCACGCGGCATTCTGTAAAGGACAGAAGTGCGTTGCAGGTAAAGCAGACTCCAGCACTGACCAAGGCACACCTCACGCGGCTACAGTCAGCTGTCAGCAAACTCGTGGGCAAGCACTATGCAGTCAAGTGAACCCAGGAAGTCAGGGGGCACTGGCCCCTACCTGAGGCAAGCCTCTCTTGGGGAGCTCTCCCGCTGGGCTGGTGGGCCGGTGAGCCGCCGTGCTGGCTGTTTGCGGGGATGATGGAGATGATACGCTTACTCGTCCCGCACCTGACAGCCCATTGCTGTTCTGGCTCTCTCCCATCCCACCTTTTCTTTTTCCAGTGGTGTGAACTGAACCCAGAACTTGGCGAGCTGGCGGCCTGAGCTTCATGAATTCAATGTATTCTAACTGTTCTTAACGTGCCCGTGAGGTTCACACCTCCAGTTAGACCGCAGGTCACTGGACCGAGTTCTTAGTGGACACAGACACTCCTCGGTCTGCGAGCGCGGACCGCTCACACCCACACGCCAGCAGCTTTCTCATAGGCAGCGTGGACCGGAATTTACTGTCCTCCTCGAGTCCTGGGATCATCTTACTAACATGAAACTCTGACTTACGATCTCTTTATTAGAAGAGCAAAGCTGAGAAAAGAGGCTTTAAACAGTAACACTGACCTTTCCATTAGCCGCCAAACAAAGCAGCATGTGGAGAGCCAGAACAGAGAGCTGCAACTGCGCTTTGCATTTGAGTAATTAAGAGGTTTGCAGCCAGGCGGGCTTGAAAGGGTCTCGGTCTCAACCATTGCTAAGAACGAGGAAGACCCCTAACACTTTAGCCTGAGGATAAAATGTGATTCCCTGGGGTGTTGTAAGGGATAAATTAGATAACATATTGTCTATCATTTACTCCAAAATATTTCAATTTATGCAAAAAGATTAAAAAGTAAGTTAATTTTAATCTATACCCCAGGGGTGGTAAATTAACATGTGAAGTATTCTAATCAGGGGAATAGACGCCACGGGAGCTTACTTAACATCTGAAAGGCTCTAATCAAACCTTATATAAACGGGGCGGAGCTAGTTTCTGCTAAGCCATCAGCACTGTGGATTGCGTCCCATTGTCCCATTGTCTCAAAAGTGTGTCGAGGAGACTGTTAAACATTTCAGGGACAGTAAGCAGGGTGCACCAAAACAGAACCCTGGGAAACGGCCAGGCTTAGGAGTCAGGGGCCTTCACCTGACCAACCTTAGGTTAGCACACTGGTTCTCAATCTCTGGGCGCAACCCCTTTGGGGGTCAAAAGACCCTTTCACAGGGGGTGTGTCTAAGACCCTTGGAGAACACAGATGTTTACAGTATGATTCAGACCTGCAGCAAAGTTACAGTTATGACATAGCAATGACAATAGTTTTGTGGTTAGGGGTCACCACAACATGAGGGAATGTATTAAGGAGTCACAGCTTTAGGAAGGTTGAGAACCACTGGGTTAGCAGAATTCTATGCATTTTGAATGTTTTGTTTTAAAGACAAGGTGTTACTATGTAGCCTTAGCTGGCCTGAACTCACCGAGTAAACCGTGCTGGTGAACCATGCTGGCCTCGTTCGCAGAGCTCTGCCTGTGTGTCTCCCGAGTGAGAGAATTAAAGTCATCTGGCACCACAACACACTTTCTTTCACTCCTTTTTTAATTCCCTTTTTCTTTATTGTTTTGGTGGGTTTTCAAACATATGTTATGTTTCCTTTGATTTTGTTAGTGTTCTAATGCATTTTTAATGTGTGATATTCAAAGCTGGAGCTCTTAAGATAACAACACAATTAAACAACTGATGTTTTTAAAAAAAATTTTGTTTCCTGATAAATGTATTTGTTGTAGAATTCAGTCTGAAATTCACTCTCACTGTAAAGGTTCTCCATGTAATGATGCTGCTATAATACCGACAATAACAAAGACAGCAAGATACACAGGGGCGCCTAGCTGCTACATATTCATTCACGTAATCCCCACAAAACCTTATGAAATATCCATTATCCCTCCTATTTTGAAAAAGGTTAAATAACTAGAAAGTGTAAAGGATGAATCAACAGGGCTTCTATTTTATCTGTCAGAGGCCATCAAAAGCCACCTTTTCCATCAACAACAAAACCAGATGCTCCAACTAGCTCAGATAATTTACTACACCGAAGGCCCCAGCTGTCCGGCCCATTCACACAGTGTAAGGAGTTAACAATGTTTTGTTGTCGTTGCTACAGTAACCCCACCTCCAGCGACTAAGTCTCTCACTGATTAGACCAACTGATTAGAATGTTGACTGTGGGGAGGCAGAAGGGTGCAGAGGCAGGGCTATCTCAGCCCCTGGTAACAGTTCAGTGCCAGCCTGTGTGTGCTGGCTAACATTCTGGTGACTACTAGGCAAATCTTTTTGAAATACATGCACAGAGCCCTAGCCTTCACCAATGCAAACGACAAGAATTCACCAGATAGCACCTGAGGCCTGCAACAGATTTTTCTGCGTTGCTGTCACCTGTCTGCCGGACAGTTCGACTGATGTGTTTTAAAAGTGTCTTGGTTTGTGGCTTTCTTTGTCCTGTTACTCCAGAAATGTCACGAAGCTGTTGCCAAGGCAACTGGAGTAACCCGAATCTGTGCTCCTGGGCCATGATCGCTCATATCTGGCTCCAGAATAAACCGTCTCTTGTTCTCTTCAGGGAGCTCTGCTTTTCACGCTGACACCATTAACCAAAGAAAACACTACACTCTAGAAGACGGAATTCAGTTTCAGTGTCTTGACTTTCAAGATGTCTACTTATTGACAAAATCATTCTGAAACTAAAAACTAAACTCAATAAAGATGTAAAATACAGTTGACAGGTAAATGAGCATTTTGATCGATCCTGGTTTCACAGGAATAGGGAAGATTATCAGCACAGAGGACACAAAAGTATATTTTACAATTAAAGGCTCCCAGCAGTTTAACTGACAAAATCACTCCAACAGAGTGACACAGTATAGAAGCCTTTAAAGACACTTGGCAGACGTGAAAAACAAAACAAACGTACAAGTGTTGATGGGCAAATACTTGGGAAACACATAGGAAAAGAAGATTTTACACATGACAGTTTAACAATACAGAGTGTGTCCATTCTCAGATTTTAAAAGATCTATATATCTATATATCTATCTACATTTTTTTCAAGACAGGGTTTCTCTTTGTAGCCCTGGCTGTCCTAAACTCACTCTGTAGACCAGGCTGGCCTCAAACTCAAGAGATCCACTTGCCTCTGCCTCCTGAGTTGCTGGGATTAAAGGCGCACACCACCACTGCCCAGCATGGTTTATCATACTTTTTAAATTATGCGCATCTCTGTATGGGGTATGTGTATCTGAGTGCAGAGCCCATAGAGGCCAGAGGAGGGCACCCTATCCCCTAAAACTGGAGTTGTGAGCCCCCCAATACAGCGGCTAGAAACTAAACTTGGGCCCTTAGCAAAAGCAGGACGGGTTCTTAGCTGCCAAGCCATTCCTCCAGACTCCGACTTCCCTAATTCAAATAACCATTCACATCACTACATCTTGGTGATCTATTTCTATCACCCATCTGATCTCTAAACGCCATCTTTCCTTATTTAGAGAAGAGTGGGATTACAGCTCTAATCTCCCGCACTCCTCTGTGAAATATATTGACTTCTACTCAAAGCTGAGTTTTGGATAAGCTAAAACAGTAATTTTTACTATAGTAGGTTTACAGTAATTAACACAATAGGGTAAAGCCATTTCCCTAAAATCAGTATCATTTTAAATCATTAAATAATAGTTAAAACTACATTAATAGATAAATATCAAGAAATAGGCATTTTCATCCCACCCATGAGAGAGTTATTTTTATTAAAGCTGCAAACAAAACAGATCAAATAGTTACCATGGAGAGCTTATTAATTAGCCTTCAATATAGGTTTTCAAAGAGAGGGTCCCACTATGTTGTCAAGGCTGGCCTTAAACTCCTAGAGTCACGTGACCCTTCTGCCTCAGCCTCCTGGACTACAGGGACCACCGCCCATGCCTGGGCACCTTCCTCCAGTCTACCCAGGTCCTTAACATGTGTGAGTCACTAACTTCTGAGCTTTCTTTTTTCAGGAGCTAACGAGATGGTCAATGAAATGTCTCACCGCTGTGATCCAGGACAAAGTCATCTTGGGCATAACGATATTTTTCAGGTCCGCATGCAATAAAAACATCATCATCACCAAAAAAGTCTTGCAGACAAGTAACCTGGAAAAAAAACACCCAAGAAATTAGAAACATTAGAGTGCAGTAAAAGTCAGCAAAAATCAAGCATACTTTCCAAGCTTCACCCACAACACTGTCGGGGAGCAGACCCGTGCGCTGTGCTGTGCTGTGCAGCACTGTGCGTTCACAAAGCTCTTCCCAGGTTCCCTGACCCCAGCACAGCAGGATGCAGGCTCCTGCGGACGCCGGTACGCCTGGTAAGCGGGTGCCGGTGCCCAGGTAAGATGCGCATTTCCCCCAGATCCCTTGGCAGACGGCAGTGTTCTCTCCTAGCACTGCCCCGTCCTGCCGTGGCCATGGCGACCCTGTTCTCCCGTGCAGCACCCTGGGTGTGCAAACTGCTTGGGGCAATGCCTGCTAGACCACAGGCTCCGCGTGTTAACGCTCGTGCTGCTCGTCAGCAGCAGCGAGGCCGGGAAGACTGTGAGACTAAGACTTCCAGGCTCTGCCTGGCCCATCCTAACGTGCTAACTTACACCTTCAGTTTTCTAAAAGCTGCCCCTCCACACTAATCGGTTTTGGATCCCAGAAAGCCTGGGCCATGGAAGCTCAACAGCCTACTGGCCACAACAGAGCCATTTCCAGAACTTTGATACAGAAAAGCTCTACTTTCTTTTGTTTAGCTTTTTTTTTTAACTTGTTGTTGTTTGTTTATTTTGTTTTTCAAGACAGGGTTTCTCTGAATAGCCTTGGCTATTCTGGATCTCATACACCACGCTGGCCTAGAAGTCACAGAGATCCACCTGCCTCTGCCTCCCTGAATGCTGGGATTACAGGTGTGCACAACCGGGCCCAGCTATGACAAACTCTACTTTCAACATGTTTTTACATGGAGCTGCATATAAACTTTCTCTTGTGAAAGTTGCTTTACTTCCAAAATAACAACGTGTTGTTTTTTTAAACCTACTGTACCACTTGGAAGTTCTCTGCAGTCTCAGCAGGACCTCCAACCCCACAGTCACAAGCCAGCTTTTTACTGGAACAAATACACAAGTCTCCACAGAGAATACAGTGCATAGACATACGGAGTGAGCTGGGTTACAACAATGAATACCGCAAATGACAGGCTGGCGTTAGAGACTCACAGTCAGCATGGACAGTTTCTTCCCATTATCCCAGCTCCTGTGGGTAGATGGTGTTCCAAAGCACCCATCCGTCGCCTTTCCGCTGCCAGCCCTGCCGCTGCTCGCACCTCGGACACTAATGGCGCAAACCCGTTTACCCACACGACACTGCTGGGAGTCACTCGTGGTTCTGCTCCCACGGCAGGCCCTCCCACCACTCTGTTCGCATTCACCCTTTCTCCTGCCTGATGCGGCCTCGCCACTTACAGCCCCAGCGCAAACGCCTGTCACTGCACCCGACCCCTCTACCTTGTCCCCACGTTTCCTCTGTTCCCTCAACCGTGACGGGTTTCCTCTAGCACAGGAGCTGTGCTTTGTTTTGGTTTTCCTTTATTAAGTTTTGAGTCATACACTGTTCTAGTTGGGTTTCCATTACTGTAAAACTCTCCAAAACCAACTCGGGGAGAAGGGCTTGTTTCATCTTACAGACACAGTCCAGCATGAAGGAAAGCCAGGAGAGGACCGACGGAAAATCATGGCGTGCTTGCTCAGTTTACCTTTTTATACAGCCCAGGATTACCGGCCAGCGATAGCCCCGCCCACCAGTAACCAACAAACTACTCCCCCCAACTCACACCCACCCCGGTGTTTGCCTGCAGGTCAATCTTAGGAGGCATTTTTCACTTGCGGGTCCCTCTTCTCAGAAGACTCTATCTGTGCCCACGTACGAGCGTGTGCACTCGAGTGTGAGTACTGCAGAAGCCAAGAGAACGCCTCGTCCCACTGAAGCAGTGTCAGGCATGTATAAGCCAACTGACACAGGGCTGGCAAGCAGGCTCAGATGCTGGGCGAGAGCCGTAACTGCTCCTCACCCGCCCAGCCGCTGCCTCTTCAGCCCCTCAGCAGCTTTCCTGGCCAACCTGTAGTGCCACGGTCTGCGGCCACCAAGGATGTGCCCCTCCTCAGCCTTCTGTCCTTACCCCAGAAGGCTGAGGAGGGACTGTGGCATTGGCCGATGTCCAACATGTTTTCTGATAACTGAAGTGTGCTGTGAGTCGATTCCCACTGGAGCCGAGCACCAGACAAGAGCGGCTTCTCTGGATGAGCCTGACTTTAAAATGTAAGAGAAAACAAACAAAAAGACTAGATTACAAAAGGACAAGCACCAAGTGGGGTGAGGTGGGTGCTCTCCCCAGGAAGAGATGAGGGTTATCCAGCCAGAGAGGTCAGAGGAAAAAGATGGGTCACACTGGACACAGGAAATGAGCAAAAGCCAAGGCACCTTCACCCGATCACAGCCTGAAATTTAGGCTCCTGGGAGGGAGGCAGGGACAGACGGACGGACAGGGAGGGAGGAGGTCTGCAGGGCAGCACTGAAGGCACACCAGGGAAATGAAGCCAGCACAGGAGAAATTCTCAGTCGTGAAACTAGAAAGATGCTTTTCAGCCCGTAGGGCATTTTAGAAAAATCAAAACCTCTTTTTCTACCTTTTGCAGTAGAATTAGCATTTCAAGGGGTTATATCTACTTAGAAATGGAAAAAAAAAAAAAAAACCCGCTGTGAACACAGATGATAAAAACACGCAAGACACAAAAAACCCCTTCTGACTGTTCTCCTGCTGGACTTCAGAAGGGAGAGCTGGTGAGAACTGGACAACGGGTGGGGCACAGCTTCCTCCTATGTTACAGGGGCCATGGAGTGACGAGCGCCGCCTGGGGATGGACCAGAAGCTCTGGTTAAACCTGGAAGGAAGAACAAAAGCAACAGGCGGGCATGAAAGAAAAACAAGAGCAGGAGCTGCTCTTCCTACCACTGCTGCTTCCGAGGCCAGGTCTGTTTACCTTTTTCACAAAGCAGACACGGACTAGGCTAGGGATTGTCATTATTATTCTGATTAAGCTGTGAGCCTGCACAGAAATAAAACCTAGCGGTGAGCTGAAGGTTTAGCTGAAGATGGATAAAAGCCAGTATTCACGGAAGGCAAAGTTTCCACTTCATCCTGTCCTTTCTCACTTCAGGTACAAGCCCCGTGAACAATCAGATGAGCACAGGTTGTCCTGCTCAGGGACAAGGACCCGTGCTGAGCCCACGGCCACCCCTACCCCCCATGCATGTGCCTGCACTCACAAACTCACATGGACAATCTCGAGCAAGATAGTTATCCTCTATTAGGTTCAGTTTTTCCATCTTCAAAATGGGAATGAAGGAGCAGAAAGAATTTAACTTAGTGAAACAGAAGAGCAAGGGAGGGAGATGGCTCAATGACTGAGAGACTTTGTTTTGCAAGAAAGAGGCCCCGAGTTCAAGTCCTAAGTATCCACGTAAGAGTGGGGCATGAGCAAGCATGGCCTGTGGACTCTAACAGAGAGCAGACCTCCCCAGCCAGTCAGCAACACTGAGTTCTAGATTCAGTAAAGAAAACTACCTCGGAAATTAAGGCAGAAAGTGATAGAGAAAGACACTCGACATTTTCTGACTTCTGTGTACACATACAGGTACACACAGCAGCACGTACACGCACAGAACCGTTTGTCAGAATGTATCTCTACATAGCTCCCATACTTTCATATTTGGTCACTCAAATACTACTTTTATGTTTTACAACTTATTCCAAATACTTGAATTCTAAGTGGTATTTTTTTTCCTTGCAATTTTCATTAAAAAAAAAAACAACGAAATTAACAATGAGGTATAATACAAGTCACTAACCTAAGGAAAAAATATTGTGAATAAAATTTGATTTAACAAGAGTGAGAGGAAAACATATTCATCGAGAAGATCTTAATTTGCTTCCAACTTCTTTAATTTAAGGAACTGTTCCGTGGCCGTTACAGCTGTGTAACAGGAGGGCGGTTACTAAGCGCACGGTTAATCCAGCAGTAGGATCCAACAGAGACACACCCAGCTGAGACACTCGGAATATGACAAGAGCCTGCCCAAGCTTTCCGAACCAATGGGGATGTTTACCCGCTTACGACAGTCATTTTTCTATGCTGCAGTAGACGATGAATTAGGTCACAGTGAAGAGAGAACAGCCATAACTTCTGTGCAGGTTCCTAACGGCTTGCCACAGCCCTCCTTTCTCTTCAGTTGTTGAAGAGAAGGCAAACAGGTGGAAGGCTTGAAGTCAGACGCAAGCATTCAGCATTCCAGGCCCAGTGCCCCGTGAGGCCCTAAGGAGGCTGTGCTGTGCCAGTTTCCCCAGTACCTCCCCACCCTCACATGTTAAAGGCTTGGGGAACCCGAGGGTAGAACTCTCAGAATGCTGGGGAACCACGAAGAGGTGAGGTCTTCTAATGGAAAGTCCTCGGCTCCACACCCTTCTCCTTTTTCTCTCCAAACAGGAAGGTTTTGCCATCAAAAGTTTCTGCCATGGAGTGGCCCCTCACCACGAGGGCTGAGCATCGTGGGCTGAGGTCTCTAAGACCATGGCCACTGAAGTCTTCTCCCCTGTTGACCGACTGTGCTCTGTACCCTGTTACAGTATCGCAAAGAAGGCCAGCACGGACCTGCTGGCACTCTGGGAATCTGTTTCTTGTTTTGCATGGCTGAGAAGGCAGCTGAGTAAGCAGGCGAGATCTCTTGAGCCCCTTTTCAGCTCTAAAATTCCAAAGTGTAAAAAGTTTGTTTATAACTTACGGGACTGCTACCAAAACAGTGGGCTTTGCCCGCAGGGGAAAGAAAGCGATGCTGAAGTTTAAGCATCTTTTTTCTGTTCAAGTCTCGGCTTCAGGAGTCTCCTAAGGCTCTCCAGGGCCTCCATGCCCACAGCCCCTCACAGCTGGGAGAGCACCACCACAGGCTGCCACTGAGGGAACCGCCTGGCTCACTGTGGACTCCTGCAGACTGACCAGCCTCTGTCCATCTCACAGCTCCAGCCCCTCACACAGCTCTGGCAGGAGACTGCTGAGCACCCT